GATCTCAGATTTGTCCTTGAGCACAAAAGATATGGCTAGAGCTCTTATGGACTCTGGGACAATCCTGCCAATGCCACCCTGTCTTGGAACCCACCCATCTGAGAAACTTAACGAATGACATTTCTCTGTGGCGGTGTAGGGAAACATGAGCTGGAAACTCAGGGGGCCAATCTAAATAGACAGGGTCACCATCGTACTCCCTCGGGGACCATTTACTGCCTAGGTGGATAGCACCAGTTTATCATGAGTGATGTGCAAAGAAATGAAATAGTCACCCCATCTCCCAGTTGTCATTAGGAAAACTGAAAGATCAGGCCACTCCTGCATAGCATTATAGGATCTAAGGTCACTGCATTTAATTTAGGTAGAATCGGTGTCATCTGGGAAAATTAAACCTGTGTTACATTATAGAATAAGTCACAGGGGACATCTCAATATAAACAGGACATTTGTGCTGTTACCACCATGACCAAATGAGAAGTAAAAAATAAATAAATAAATAAAAACTAAATAATTTGAATATAATCACAACCTAAATAAACTGAAAATAAAAATGCCATCTATATTAGTCACCGCTTTGTTTCTGGGACAAAATACCTGACACACACAACTTACAGGAGGGAAGGTTTATTTTAGCTAACAGTTTTTCAGAGGTCCGTGGTGGGCTGGCTTAAAGATGGAAGCACTAAGATGAAAGGCCATGATGGCGAAGCTGTTCGCCTGTGGCAACCAGGAGCAGAGAAAGCAAGGAAGAGCCAGGAAGGGGGACAGAGGCTGGAGACAGGACATACCCTAAGGACACATCCCAGGGACCCACTTCCTCCAACTGTGGGCTTCCTCCTAACAGACCATTCAGCAGTGAACTCACCAGTGGATTCGCACCTCATAATCCAGTCATCCCTCTAGGCGCCACCTCTGAGCATTACTGCTTTAGGGATACAGTCTTCATTTCGTGAGTCTTTAAGGAACACTTCGTGTTTAAACTGTAACACCATCTGCTTAAGGTAGCAACTCTGATGGGCCAGGGAACCAAGCTGAATACTGGAAATACAGTAATGAGTAAAATCTGGTCTCTTTCCTTCAAGTACTGGTGGTTGGATCTGGGAGACAGACGTATAAATAAATAACCATGATATTATGTAAAATATCCTGTAATCCAGATATAAACTAGTATGGATCTCAGTGTGCAGAGAAGAAAGGTAGGGAGGGCTTGCCAGAAAAGGTTCCCTTTGGGCAAACAACTGCAGAATAACTGGGAAGGGGAAGGGGTCAAAGCAAGGATCAGGTGCAAATGGTCCCATAGCACACTGAGGGGGACATGTTGTAGACGTTGGGGGAGAATAGTATGTCTGGAAAGAGGGGCCAAGAATATAGAGCAGCCCATGAAGAACCTAGAGTGACGAGGGCCTTGGCCTTCCTCTGTAAGGCAGGAGTCCTGGAAGAGAAAGCATGGAATGACGTGCTGGTGTCTGAGTTAGATCAGAAAGAATGGCCAGAAGATGACCCAGGATACAGACAGAGACCGGGCCTTAATGTCAGAAAGAAGTGATAGGTCAGTAGTACTGGGGCTAAAGAAGAAGGGCCAGGGAGAAAATCATGCTTTGTTTATTAAATTCAGAGAGAAAACAGAGGAAGAAAAGCCTTGCGTTTGGATGCTTGGCTCCATTAGCAGTGGCCAGGCCCCAAGGACGCTGTCCAAAGCTAAATGAGCAGGCAGGGCCAGATTAAGAACCTCAAGGACCTGGACCCCCATAAGATTATGACACACCAATTTTCACATGTAATTCAAAAAACTCCAGTCTCCAAAACAGAATTTTGTTTTTCAAAAGACCCAAACCTATATGCTTGCTAAGTGTAGAACAGTCCCCTTCTGTACTTTTCTAGTTCTCTCGCTTGCATTCTGAAGGGATTGCAATGGCCTGCCTTGCTGGCATTCCGGGCCTGCTCAGGTTTCCCCAGATCCCCTGGCAGAGTGTGTGCCCCACATGCAGTGAGCATGGCCAGCACCAAGTCAACAAATCTGAATGAAAGAGGTCACTTGGAATCCAAAAGCACTCCAGACTTTCAGAAGGAGCCATGCTGCTAAGGGCCTGGTGAATGATCAGGCCACACACAGGAACTGAAAATTAGCTCCCTAGGAATGATGAGTCCAACATTAATGTACCCTAGACTTGGAATAAATTGTATAGCAGCAATACCTACCTGTAGACATCTCCACATTCGGACACAATCTGTACTAATTAAAATATCAGTTATTGTTGAATACCTCCTGTGTGCCTTGCACTATACTAAATATCTGACATTTGTGATGCCTTATAATTTTCCTAGTACACACATGGGATAGCTGTTAACATTCTCATTTTGCAGATGAAGAAAACTTGAGGCTCAGGGGGCCAGCAGCAAATTTTAGAGCTAGACTTGGAACCCAGAATAGTTATGTGCATTTGTCCAGCCTGTGGCTAGACTGTGCCCGGTCCCCTTAATGCTTCTATACTCTTAACTTCTTTTTCCTGTTACCCGTACCCAGTCTTTGTGACTGATTTCCTGAAACAGACCCTCATCAGCACTGCTCCTCTGTTCTGATTCTTTTTCCTTGGGTTTTACTATAAATTACAAACTAATCTTGCAATTCATTTATATCTGGCTGCAAGAGAAACTCCTGGGCTCCTGATAAGTACAACATGAATATCAGCACAGTGTTAACACTGACCAGGAATCAGATCTACTTTTTTTTAAATTAAGTTATTGGTACATTTTAAATATACATAATGATCACATTCATCATAGAGAATTTGTACCTGTACATATATATCTTTTTTTCACTTTTAATATATCTTGATTCTGCTTTTTTCCCCATTCCCTTCCCCTCTTTCCAGCCTCTCCTCCTCTCCTTATGTGCAAAAGCTGTTTCCATTTATCCTTCTTTTCTTGGTTTTTTTTTTTTTTTTGGCCTTCCTTTTCCCTTCCTCCTCCCTAGTTTCCCTTCCCATTTGAGCACTTTCTTCCTATTTCACAATATCTATTACACATTTCAGTCCTTTTACACATTCAGTTTCTCACACCAGAGAAACAATGCAATATTTACACAGGTGTGTCCGATTTATTTCATTCAAGAGTATGGTCTCAAGGTGTTAGTCTTTCTGGTTCACTTCAGTATTCTTTTACTTTCATCTTCATTCTTTTTCTCCTGTCCTCTTCTCCAGTTGCCCAAAGCTTGGTGATCATCTTTTGTCCTTCAGCTTGCTTCTACTATATTCCTCTTCATTGATGTATTTTTCCCCATCCCTCTTAAATTCACCCCCTCCCCCATGCCCTGGGGTAAAATCATTCTACTGAGGGGAAAGTCACTGCATACAAGTTCCTGGTTTATGTTAGATTTTGTTATATGACTGTAGATCTTGCTCCTATGGCTGAAGGTACCAAATTAATAGTTACCAATTTCTAGGCTATGCTTGATACTATGGTCATTGCTAATTGTATTACTTCATCCAGAATGTCATTCATATTGTAATCAGTTGTTCTCCCTTGTGTGACAACACTGTGATTGGCTAGGGTCATAACCATCACCATGGTCCAGTACCAAAGGGCTGAGTGTTGAGCAAAATACATAGCAGTTTCTCATCCCTAATAAAGTGGCAAGGTAGGATCTTGGGACAGATGCAAAGGCCAAGAGCCAGCTACACCTAAAAGGCATCTCTGAGGAAGAGACATTTCCTAGGGAAGCCTTGTTACTAGTGGTAACTATCTACCATAAGCAATTTATAAACATCAACACAGAAAACAAATTAAATTAAAAAGTAGAAAATGACAAAACATAGAAGCAAAATGCAACGCCAGACTGCTAGCCCATCCAAGACAAGTCCAGGGGAAACAAGATGGAGGAAACCAGAAGCCACCCACCCACCTGAAGTTTCTGGAATAGTAGCAGCAGAAGAAAAAAAAGATGAATGAGAATATAGAGAAAATCGGATCTACTATTATCCATCAGTCAGTCTCAAGGTGAGGGTGGGAGTTGCTAGAAAACTGCTATAAAGAAAGGTTTATGTCAGAAGTATGCACATCCATGTTTATAGTGGCACAGTTTATAATAGCTAAAACTTGGAAACAACCTATTTGTCCATCAGTTGGAAACTGGATAAAGAAGATGTGGTTTTTCTATAAAATGGAATATTACTCGGCCATAAAGAATGAGAAAATAGATTCATTCATAGGAAAATGGATACATATTGAAGATATACTCCTAAGTGAAATAAATAAGGCACACATGTGTAAATACCGAATAGTTTCTCTGGTGTGAATAATCTGCAATAATACAGAAGATCCTAATAAGATAACTGACATTGAGAAATGGGAAGAAAGGAGCTAAAGGTGTAGGGAGGATGGGATGGGTAGGGGAAGGGTAAAAAGGGAAAAGAAAAATGTGAGAGATAAGGGTAAAAAGGGAAAAGAAAAAAATGTGAGATAATGAAAAGATGGAAATAAAGTGGTTATAGATGGGGAGGGGAGGAGGGGGTGAAGGGAGGACAGGGACAAGGAGAAAAAATGAGAACCAAGACTTGTCATGTAGAGGTACAAGATCCCAACAATGAATGTAAATGTACTGTGTCCCTAAAATGTACCAATAAACTCAATTAAAGCTGAAAAAAAAAGAAAGGTTTATGTCTTATAACCTTTGGATTGTTTTTTTAAGTCAGGGGTTTCCATGTTTCTGCCTTGAATTGACAGGCTGCCTATTGCAAGCCTCACTGGTAATCTTTGTATGAAAACACAACATGGGCAGTCATCAGCAAGATATTTTTGCATTAGCAGTTAGGTGGGTGGGATAATTAGCCCATGCACTAAGGTTAGAAAAATTGGGGAGCCATCACCCAAGGTAAAAATATCATCCCTGTAAAACTCTTTTGCCTGGACTCATAGACCAAGAATTCAAGTTCTACATCTCTAGCTACCTGATAGGAGAGACGAAAATGCTCACCTCTGGCCATGTCTTTGTTTTCTAGTCACAGCCCAGCACATAAGTACTACCTGACCACAGATCCCATGAGTGGGGCTGTCTTCCTTTCTGATACCAACAGCCGGCGGGTTTTTAAGATCAAGTCCACCATGGTGGTGAAGGACCTTGTCAAGAACTCTGAGGTGGTGGCAGGGACTGGGGACCAGTGCCTCCCCTTTGATGACACTCGCTGCGGGGATGGTGGCAAAGCCACAGAAGCTACACTTACCAATCCCAGGGGTAAGGCCTTGCTTTCTAAACACTATCAGTAACAATTTGGGAGTATTTTACATTTTCAAGGAGTGTACAGAGAAAGGTTAGAATTGTGATAATGTTACTGATAGAAATATTCCCAGTTAACATTTCCTGTCTCTCCTCCCAGTCTTTGTTCTACATGTTGCATGTATGTAGCATTCACTAAACTCAAAAAAACTAGATTAGATCACATTAAAGAAACTGAGTAACTTGCTTTTTTCCCCTAAGTGATATATCAGGAATTCTTCTCCATGTGGTTGGTCTTCTGTTTTCAATAGTCTTCTTATTTTTAGTGTCTCTGGAATGTTCCTTCCAGTGGACACCCCATCGTTCATTTATCAGTTTGATTGTTGGACATGAATGTTATTTCTCATGTTGTTGTACAAAAACATTGTTGTGTATCATTTGGTGATATATCATGTATCATTTTGTGGCATCATTATCATTATGTTTATGCTATACAGTGGGTTGACTGCAGGTGTCAATTTTGATTCCTTCAGAGAGTTGAACCTCTAAATGCCCTCACTGAGTATTTTTCATTCACTTACTCAACAAGTATTGACTGAATGTACAGAGCTCTGTGCATAAGTTCATTTAGCAGGATAACTGAGATTTAGACATGAATCACTGTGCATGCAACAAAGAGCTGTGTATGAGGGTTTAGAGGTGAGAGAGACCCCGGCACCTTGAAGATGTAGAAGCTTGTTAGAAGAGAAGCCATCATTACCAGAGACACCCCTCAGTGGAGCATCAGCTGTGGTGCAAACCCAACAGCCAGGGACATGCAGTGCCTCAGCGTCCTTCTATGTAGAACGGGGCTAGAAATACCATCTGTGTGTACCTTGTAGGATTGTTCAGAGGACCAAGATTAATATATTTCATGTGATATCCTGTTAAAATGTTATGGATAATTATATTTGACTGCCGGATTTTAAGGCCTGATTTCAAATCAAAACAGTTAATTCTTGTTTAATTACGCATTCAGATCCAGGCTTTCTTGTCTGGTGGTTGTATGACTTCAGGCAAGTTACCTAACCTACCTCTCTGGGCTTCATTTTCCTCACCTATGTAATAGGATATGCTGCACAGTAATTGTACAGATTAAATATTATAAAGCATATAAAGGCATAGTAAAGTAGTACTAGGCACATAGTAAACATCACATAAATGGTGACTGCTATTATTTTGCAGTATTGTATTATAATATACCATACTCTGTCATATCATCATAGCACATCGTCTCTTCCACATATCTGGATTGGTCAGGTGTAGCTATGGGATAAATATTGTCACTGGTAGTTAGCATCCCTCCTAGTGATGATTTTGTAATACTGAGAGAGCAGTCTGAGGGGTGGAGAGAGTACTGGGCTGGCACTTTGAGACCCTGCATTATCCTTTCTCTCCACTACTTGCTAGCTCTGGGGCCTCCTCATCTGGGAACTCAAATTCCCTATTAGTAAGTGAGCAGGTTAGGCGAAACAATCCCTAAGGCCCCTTTCAGCTACAACATTCTACCTCTCAGAATCAAGACAGTTTTTTAGAGAATTGTTGTTCTCCCTAGATGCTTCTCAGTTGCTCTCCAAGCATGTGTGTTCTCTGCCCCCACCCCCCATACACAGATGGCGTGGCAGTGCAATTGCCCACAAGCCTGTAATTAACCCAGGGAGAAATGACAAGGGTGCCACAATGTGCAGATACTTTGCAGTAGGGAGGAAAAAAGATGTCCATCTATTTAGCACAACCAAAGGAGAAAAAAATGAAGTAATTAATCAGGGGACAGATCACTTCTATTAGCCTGTGCAACAAACAAGAAACCTAATTGTTCATGGAGCGCTCATCAGTCCGAGCAGATGGAAGAGAAAGGCAGGGCATAGCCAGGCAGACAAGAAAACTCATGTCTTCGTACTTAAAGAATGAAATCAATTTACATTTGAGTCAAGACCAGGAGAAAGGCTCCCAGCTTGAGGCTGCCTGGTCCTCTGTGTGAAATCTTCTCCCAGTGTAAGTAGGGGCAAGAAGAGGCAACTGTACTTCAGAGAGGCATCACTTAACCCCATGCTGGCCAGAAAGAGAGATACACAGGCCCCCAAAAACAAGGGCCTCAATACCCACAAGGTGTTGGTCATGTATGTACTCATAATCCTGTTAGTCATTAATAATGATCAAAGACAAATTATTCCAATCATATGTTATCCTCTGATTTTATCAATGAGGAAACAGACTGAGAAGTAAAAGTAGTTTAGCCGGGCCTGCGGGCACACGCTCATAACCCTAGCACTCCGAGAGGCTGAGGCAGGAGTTCTGCCAGGGCAATTTAGTGAGACCCTGTCTCAAAAAGAAAACAATGAAGTCTGGGGATGTAGCTCATTGTGAAGGCCTTGGCTACCACAAAGAGGAGGAGGAGAAAGTGAAATAGCTTGCCCAAGGTAACGAACTAGCTTCATAGTATGAGTGTCTATGCCTCAATGAACTTGTTTTGATCCCCTCTTCCACTGCCTGCCCAAGAGAAAATGAAACAGAGCAAAAGTGACCAGCCTTTATTCCAGCACCCTCTGGGGTCTGTTATTTCTCGTGGTACTCCACATGGCCCTCCCTTGGTCCGGTGCCTTCCCATCTCGACCAGAACCTCCTTGGGAGCACATCTCACTGTCACCCCAGAGCAGTCTCCGTTTGATCTGACTCTTGTAATTCTGGACCTAGGGTGGCAGTCGTCATCACCCATGAACACCAGTTTGAAAACATGTCTTAATCCTAGTCCCAGCCAGCCACTAAATAAGCATTCCCAGGAATGAGGCCAAGCAAGGGTGTGCTGGAAAAAAACTCTGCGTGATTCCAGTACACATCATTGGCCAGGAAGTAATGATTTCTTGGAGTAGTTCTCACGCTTTAGTTTATATCCTGATCACCTAAAGTGCTTGTCAGAAATGCAGGCAGGCACGAGAGCTCCATTAGGGATCTTCTGAAGCAGCCACCTGAGGTACACTATAGCACACTCTACAGCAGGATTCTCACACATGTCCCGGAGAAAGAAGTACAGACTTAGAACAGTCCCTTCATTTGACAGCTGAGAAAGCAAATGCAGAGTTGTCCAGGAACTTGCCCGTGATCACACAAGCTGGGTCAGGAAGAAACTGCACAGGGTGAGACAGTCTAGCTTGTAGAAGAAATGATCCTGATTCTTCTCTTGTAAGCCATCCCTGGGCATTAGATTCAACAATATTTTCTATACAAATCCATAGGATTCTTTTTAGGCTATACTTTTTTTTGGCGGGGGGGTACCCAGGATCGAACTCAAGACCTTGTGCTTGCAAGGCAGGCAGCAGAACCACTGAAGTAAATCCCCGGCCCTAGACTATACTTTTATAATGACCAGTAAAATTAAGATAATAAAGATAAGAGAAATTTGAAGAAGATTCTCTTAGAAAAAAATTGTTGTCAAAAAAAGGATTTGATTATTAGATTATCAGGGCTTTGGAAATAGGCTAAAAGTTCTCAGTGATAATCACTACTTTTACTGCTTCACAAACCCCCATAAATTATGAATCCACTTTTTGTGGGTGGATGAGGCAACAGATAAAAATCTCTGGGCACAGCAAAGTGGGAGAACCAGAGCTCAGGAGGATCTGAAAACATGAATTCTAATCTCTGCTTTGAACAAAGCCCTCAGACCAAGCCTCCATCTCCTAATCTTTAGGTTTTTTTGTTTTTGTTTTTGGTACCAGGGATGGAACTCAACTCTGGTCCTTGTGCTTGCAAGGCAGGCGGCAGAACAGCTGAGCTAAATCCCCGGCCCGCATCTCTTAATCTTTAAACGGAGGCTGACGGGCTGACAGTGCAGCTCCATGGGAGAGCTCTTGCCTCTCAAGGCAAGGTCCTGGGTTCAATCACCAGTGCCACAGCAGGGGAGGGGAGCTGTGGGAGGATCTGATCAGATCATACTGGAGAGGGTCTTTGTCAGGTGGCAGGGCTCCAGGTCTTTTGTGGGTCCTTGTCATCTCTAATGCGTTGGCTTCTACACCCCAGGCATTACAGTGGACAAGTTCGGGCTGATTTACTTTGTGGATGGCACCATGATCAGACGTGTTGATCAGAATGGGATCATCTCTACCCTGCTGGGCTCTAATGATCTCACGTCAGCCCGGCCCCTCAGCTGTGATTCTGTCATGGATATTTCTCAGGTGAGAAGACTTTGTCTGCTAGAGCCCTGGGTCTGTGCACTCATCCTTGCATCTGCTACCCAGTCTGCTGGCCATTTGCCTGTGCACCGGAGAAGCCTTTAAAGGGTGCCCACCTGCTGCAGGGCCTGTAATGAGCACCAAGGGCATAAAGACAAGGAAGACTCTGCCCCTTACGCACACTGTCCTTGGGAGTCCACCATCAGGGGTAACCAGTGTGTGGCCCTAGTCGGGGCTCAGGGATCGGAGAAAAAAATTTTGCCCAAGGCTAACAGAGCAGGATGGACAAAGCTTTACACAGTGTGAATTTAAACCCACAGCCACTTGTACTTCATTTTAATAACACACACAGGTCCTTGTACATTGTCTATTCTCTCTCTAAACCATAAGCTAGTTGAAAACAGGAATTCCATCTTTTATCCTCAACTATAACTAGGTTGCCTGGTGTACAATAGGATTGTAGCCCATACTTGTTGATTGATTCATTGAGCAAGTGACTGACTCCTAGCTTTGCCACTTACTAGCTCAGATTTGTGAAGTCTTTTGAGCTTCATTTTTCGTATATGTAAAATTGAAATAATTCAGCCTGACAAGATTACCTTGAAAACACATGCAATGGTGCATGGACAGTTTCTCACACCACTCAGCACCAGAAATGAACAAGCAGAAGTTCTCAATCTCATTTTCACAAGGGAGACAACATTTGTGCCAGGTTTTAAAGTTTGAACAGGAGTTCAGTCGTGGCAGAAAGGAAAAGGAGACATTGCACACAAAACGTATGACGTGTGCAAAGGCACAAAAGTGCTAACGAACCTGGTACTTGGTTAGAGTTAATCTTTACCTTATGGGGAAATTTGGTGCAGTTCTCATCCAATTTGGTTTGTGACCAGAACCGTGAAGAGAATTGAGCCCATAAACCGAGGTACCACTACGTATATTAATATGGGCAGAAGGTACTGGCTTTCATTCCTCTTTTACCAATACCCAGCTATTTTACTGTTCCATGGGAATGAAGGAGGGAAGCCAGAGTGAGAACACGGCTCGGAGGCAAGAGTGCAAAAGGGAGAGCCAAGGAATTTGGGCCAGCTCCTCTGGGAAGAGACAAAGATCAGGTCTGAAATGAGATTGAGGGAGGCGTCAATAGGAAGGGAACAGAAGCTGTTGTGACCTGTTTCTTAAAAACTCAGCAATTCTGGCTGCACAGGCAGAACGTAACTCTGTACCTAGCAGCCAAAACAAGAACTTGCTGTGTGCCAGGCACTCCATTAAAAATGAGAATACAGAGATGAGTGTGACTTCTATTATCTTATTTAGCTGTCACAATAATCCCATGGGGTAGATATTACAAATAATAAACTGAGGCTTAGTAAAAGAAAATGCTTTTATAAAAGCAAAGACTTGTGCTAGGTTCCATCCGTGATATGGAAATGAATTTTTTAATGTACGTAATTGCCTAGAATAGTAACTGGCAACTAGTAACAGGACAAAAGCATTAGTTCCCTTAAAATCTATGAAGAGCTTCCTTATACATTATTTTATTTGATCTTCCCAACTATCCTAGGTAGTGTTTGTCACTCCCCTTCTAGTTCATTATTTAATAAACTTGGATAAGGGGACACTTCTAGTGAATGTGGAACTGCTGCAGGAAGCGAGGTTCGCCAGTCTCCATCCCACACTGTCCCTGTGCCGTGTGCTGATGGCTCTTTCATTTACTCCTTCACTCAGGTGACAGTGCCGTTATACAAGCACATCACCCTGCAACAAGGCCATCAACTCAGAGCACCTTAATAAAGGTACTGAATGCTGAGGACAAAGAGAAGGGAGCTCCCCTCCTGCTAGGACCCTTGAACCTAGGAGTTGCAGGAGACCTCCTCCCTCCGTTTTGGTGTTGGGAAATTAAGCCAAGCAGGATTATCACTAATCAGAGGTGAAGCACAAGAAGTTTAGCATTGCTGTGGTCCTGTGCAAGCTGTATGAAGGAGCGAGGAGCAACTCCAAGAGTACTGCCCTTCTCTTCTCCCAGGCACCTCTGTGCGCACTGGCACAAGGCAAGAGCGCAGAAGCACTTGCTGTTCATTTCTTCTGCTTTCCTCACCCCCTTCCTCTGCTGGCTTCCTCCTCCCCTCCTATCCACCCACTCATCAGAGCCCCATCTTTTCATCATAATGACAGGCAGAAAGGTCTCTCCAAGCAGGTCCCCAAGGTGCCACAGGACCAGAGGGCATGAAATATTTAGTGGCCAGTGTTGACAAGAAATGGGTTTTAAGAAATTGCAAACTCTCCTGTCGCTTCAGAGCAAACTGTGTTCTTGATGCAGCTGAAAGCTGGCATGAGTATACTCCAGAGACCCCTGGGAAGTGTAAGCAGCAGCCAGGCAGCAGCTCTGGAGAGTCTGCAGCTCCTTTCCTCTATGCAAACAAACAGACAGGCAGACAGACAGACGGGAATGGAGGATGAGGAGACGTGGGCTTTAGCCTGCAGGGTCTGAGGACTGGCTATTCAGAAGAACTAAGAATGGCCGGAAATGGTCTCATCATCTATGTACATAATTTACTGAGCTTCTTATTACGTTGCTAAATGACCACATGTACACCATAGAAAATTTCTGAAATTTAAAATCATAATAGAATAGTAAAATCACTTTAACATTTTGGCATATCTCCCTCAAGTTCTTAATCTCTTCTCTACCCATAATCTACCTTATTGTTATGTTTTTTCCTTTAATTGGCATCACCCTGTGCTTACAGTTCTAAAACCTGTTCTCTCTACTTAACACACAGCAAATATTTCCCCGTGTTATTGCAGACATTCCCTGTATCTGAACAACACCTTTAAGAATTGCACATACCATTATAATCTATGGGTAAACCCAGTGTGCTATATTTTATTTGCCCAATTCTCAGGTTTGGGCATCTGAGTTGGTCCCAGCTTTTTACCATTGTTAAAAATGGCTCCGATGAATACACTCATAGAGAATGGTGTATAAAAGCAAATTCCTCTAAGAGAACTTCTTATCTAAGGATACATAACTTGTTTGAGACGGCAAATTGGACCAACTATCAAAGGTTTTTAGGGGCTCAGTATCTCTAAGGTGATGAGTCTTTAGACAGGTCTGAAAAGTCAGCAGGAGGAATCAACTAGCAGTATGGGTGGTCTTCTTGGGGACACAATTGACAAAGGCTTCCCTTAGTACCCAGCATCTCCCAGTGTGATACATCTAACAATCCAGCTCCAAGTCCATTGAGCAAAACATTTCTTGCCCCAAACTCTGCCAAGTGCAATCCCCTAGGTGCCCACTTGAAGGCTTACCTTGACCCAAGCCAGTTTCTTTGCCTGGTTCAGAGAGGCTGTTTGGGCCCAGACCTCACAACCCCTGAATCCCACTGCCAAGTTCATTTATCCCTTCCAGGAGGACCTGCTCTCTAAGGTCCTACAAATCACTATGTAAAACAGGGCTTCTTAAACTTCATTGTGCACAGAAAACACAGAGGGATTTTCTCTAAAAGCAGATCCAGATTTGGTAAGGTTAGGATGAGTCTGCCACTCTGCATTCCTGAATGGCCTCCAAATGATGCCAAAGCTATTCTTTCTACTTCTGGTTCTCACTCTTTAAGGGGCAAGGATCCAATTGTGATTCCTAACTCTCCTTCAGAACCAAAGAGCTTTTGAAATAATGCCAGAGCCCAAGCCCGACCCAGGGATCTCGTTTAAGTGAGCCACAGTGAAATTTGTACGCTGATGTTTTCTTAAATGTCTACAGATAATTTGAATGAAGGGACAGTTTTGAGAATCGCTTCTCAGACAGAGGCCATGGTTATCTTGTCTTTACACCCCCAGTACAGTACCTGGCCATGTTATGACCTGAAGATGTGGGAAATCATCTTTCATACACATATCATATTGGACATTCATGAAGAGTACTTTAAAATCTCTGGATAGCTCCTACTGCATCCTCCAGACTCTATCTGCCTTCCCCTCCCACCTCCACAATAGCTTCAATGGTTGGAGCACCTACTGTGGACCAGGTTCCCTGCATGATTACATTGCTACTCTCCAGATGTGAATATTGAGCCTCAAAGTAACTTGCCCAGTGGCATAAGTGGTGGGGCTAGGATCAGAACCCAGACCCATCTGACTCCAATTTGTCCTCTTGCCTACTCTGTCTTCTTGCTGTTATCCACTTCTTCAGGTTTTGTCAGGCTGTAGAGACCATCCGATGTCTTGGTGACAGCTATTGAATAGTCTCCCTCAGGTCAGGAACACAGCAATCCATTTTTGATGCTAGGCTCGATGAGGATCAGTCAAGACCTTATGTGAAAGCCTTTTGGACACTACTGCAGCTTTTAGTGGGTGTGGGGTAGCGTGGGCATCTTGCCAGTCATCTGAGCGTTGGTGTCTCCATTGTCAGGTTCGCTTGGAGTGGCCCACAGACTTAGCCATCAACCCAATGGACAACTCTCTTTATGTACTCGACAACAATGTGGTCCTGCAAATCTCTGAGAACCATCAGGTACGCATCGTCGCAGGAAGGCCCATGCACTGCCAGGTCCCTGGCATCGACCACTTCCTGCTGAGCAAGGTGGCCATCCATGCAACCCTGGAGTCGGCCACTGCTTTGGCTGTTTCACACAACGGCGTCCTGTATATTGCTGAGACTGATGAGAAAAAGATCAACCGTATTAGGCAGGTCACCACTAGTGGAGAGATCTCGCTGGTTGCTGGGGCCCCCAGTGGCTGTGACTGTAAAAATGATGCCAACTGTGACTGTTTCTCTGGAGATGATGGTTATGCCAAGGATGCAAAGCTGAATACCCCCTCTTCGCTGGCTGTGTGTGCTGATGGGGAGCTCTATGTGGCCGACCTTGGGAATATCCGAATTCGGTTTATCCGGAAGAACAAGCCTTTCCTGAACACCCAGAACATGTATGAGCTATCTTCACCCATCGACCAGGAGCTGTACCTATTTGATACCAGTGGCAAGCATCTGTATACCCAAAGCCTGCCCACAGGTGACTACCTGTACAACTTCACCTATACTGGGGATGGTGATGTCACACTCATCACAGACAACAATGGCAACATGGTGAATGTCCGCCGAGATTCCACAGGGATGCCCCTCTGGCTGGTGGTCCCTGATGGCCAGATATACTGGATGACCATGGGCACCAACAGTGCACTCAGAAGTGTGACCACACAAGGCCATGAGTTGGCCATCATGACTTACCATAGCAATTCTGGCCTGCTGGCAACCAAAAGCAATGAAAACGGATGGACAACATTTTATGAGTAAGTATCAAGATAAGACCATGCAACGATTGTGTTTTTTAGATACATTGTAGGATTTGAGCTTAATTGATAGAGTATAAATTCTGGTATTTATTTCATTTTTATTCAGGATTTGGCATGTAAACCATCACGTATAATGTGCTCTGCAGGTTCCTATTGCAAATGATTCCGCCTAAAAAGGAAGTGGTGCAGTGCAGAAAGCATGAGCTTAGGAGTCAGAGGAGTTCAGCTTCAATCTCAGCTCTATCGCAGACTTAATCTCTCTAGGCCTCAGTTTCCATACCTTTAAAATGGATAGAGTAGACACCTGCCCAGAATACCACAGGGCAATAGTGTAGATGAAAAGTACTTGATGAAGTGCTAGCACCTTCATAGGACCACTGCCCAGAAATATGGCCGTATGAGAAAGAACATCCATGTGGATGAATTTTCCACATAAGCAAAGCTCACATTTTCAATTCCAAAAACTGGTTTTTTATTTTAACCATTTTGGATGAACTTCTTATGAAATAAATTACAAGTGACCCTTCTCAAACACATGTTACAAATATATAATGTATAATCTTTCTTCTTATGAGTCAGGAACATTAACACTGAACAACAGCAATTGCATACTATGTTGTATTAGGGTGACAACTTCCAGAAGTGGAGAGACAAGGACACAAAGCCCTTGGCGCCTTCCTGATGTGATTTTAAACTATTCTTTCATTAGCTCTTGTATCTACCAGGTATAGTTTCACTGCCCCTTCTCTCTGTGTGGTGCTGTGGTATCACTGTTTTCAGTCAGAGTGCAAACCTCAAGTAGCTACTTCCTTCTTCATCAGCATAGAGCTGCTTAAGTGTGTGGTCAGAGAAATGCAAGTTTAGCTTATTACAATCATAATCAGAATTAAATACACATAAAATCTGAAGTGTTTCTCTATGAGACACTTTTATGAATGGATCCTGTAATATCTTTTTCTATTCAGATCTTTTTAAGCTTCTTTTTGAGATCCTAGCCACGTTCTGGATGAAGAGGACTGCTGAGTACATTACACTACCTGAGTATAAGTATTCAGAGGATGGGAAAGGACCTGGTCTTGGTGCTACATTCATTCTCACAAAAACAGCTCAGGGTCACAGGAGATATTATCTGCCTTACAGAAATAGAAACTGAGGCCTGTAGTGACTCCTTTGCCTGCTGGTCTACAGAACATGGCAGAACAGGGGACTGCTCTCAATTCTGAGGCCAGCTCTGCTGTTTCATTTCTGCCCTCCCCTACCTCCCAGCCAAGTTTGTTAAGCCTAAATGAAGTTGAACACTTGGATCCTATATTTTACTCAGACTGGATCAAGCATCAATTTCTCACATAGTCTAAAGGAAAAGTATCTATAATTGATTTCTAAATATAATTTGCACCGAAAAATGTCACAGCATTTTGTACAAAGTTCACTAGTTAAATTCCTTTCTCGAAACAAGGGCCTCGTTAATTGCAAAGAAAAGACAAAGATCCAGGAAAACAGCAATTATCTTGATTAACTCATTGAAATGGAAATACGCTAAATAATTCAATTTTCCCCATTACCCAATGGAATAGAAATCTCTTATACATTATTTAGCCAATACAGGGGTTTCTTTGTCAGGGCAAATCTGTGTACTCATTAGTTCCCAAGGTCACTCTCTTAGAGCCACGCTGAATACTTACACATCACTGCCACCATTACTCCACACCACTCCTGAAGCCTAAAACACTTTCCTGCACCTCTGACAGAAAGGATCCGGCCCTCTCTCTTTCCTGCCTAAAATATGCAGTTGATGTTTTATAAAGAAAGAAAAGTCATTATAATTGCTTTTTATAAAACAGCATTTGAAATTCCAAAGAATCCATCTTATCACAGTACACAGGTTCCTCGCTGACACAAACCAGAAGTGAAAGATAAAGGTCCTAAAATAGAAGGAGAAATTCATTTGGGGAGGATACTACTGCATGTTAGGCTCTTTCCCATTTAATATCCACAGCACCTACCCAGATGTCAAGCCCGTCACTTGATACACAGATATATTAGCAAGGGTCTTACAGTCAGTCATTAACTCAGACAGTAGGGATTATCATCTACATCTTTTTATCTGTAAATACACTAAGCACAGAGAAACTGGATAACAAGCTTCAAATCATACAGTGAGTGCAGAGCAAAGCCGGAACATAAGTTTGTGTTCCTCCAGCTGCACTGGCTGGATTCACCTGTATTCTTCCTGATTCATTCTCTTTTTTTTTGATAGAGATTAAAACAGTTTCTATGCTGTGATAGTATGAGCTTCAAACTTTCAATGAGAAGGAACATGGAAAGCTAAGTGATTGCTGCTGCTGCTGCTGTTATCTCAAGCAATACTGTGGCAGTATTAGTGATTACAGAAATGTTACTCGGACATGAGAGATATTACCCAGGTTCAGTTTGGAAGTGAGCTAATCAAAGAAACAAACAAGTCTTAACCGAGGTAGAAATCAGAGGTCATGCGTTAAGTATGAGACATCAAGGTATGGAGTAAGAAAGAGGCCAGGTCCCTAGAATATCCAGTGTGGGCTAGAAGATGGCATGCACTTCTTAACCGAGGTAGAAATCAGAGGTCATGCGTTAAGTATGAGACATCAAGGTATGGAGTAAGAGGCCAGGTCCCTAGAATATCCAGTGTGGGCTAGAAGATGGCATGCAGAGTGGGCAAAAGCAAAGTGGTACATTTAGATGGAAACAAAGCAAGAATGCCAGATACCCATTCCCACTGGACTATGGGCTGTTTAGTTGACTTAGGGCAAGCTAGCTGTCTTCCGGACCCAAATCTCAACCAGACAGAAATAATCACTACCTTACTCCATTTCTGGGCCATTCTGATGATCAAAAGACTAAATTAATACTGAAAATAAAACTACTTTGCTAACTGGGAGGCTCCTTAGAGATAAGGGTATGCTGTTATTATTCATGATGATATTTCTTAGCAAGGATCTATATAGGTTTTGCCAATGAACAAATTGCTTTTAGAGAATTTTTTTCTCCCTTTCACTCCATGAGACAGCTTAGTGGATTCAATCCCAAATGTTCTATCTAATGTTTTAAAAAAAATCAGCCTAGGCTTGACTGTGACATGGGCTATTACTAAAATAAGCTGTAAGCTGACTTTATTGATCCTCTTAACAGATTAAATAATACATCTAACATAAACATCATACACTGGAGAGCAACTCCACTTAAAGAGTTCACAGTTAAGGAATGAAGGTTACTTTTCTTTCCTTGGACCACAGGTCTACGGATGAAAACCGAGGAGCCAGCAGTGCAGGTTTCATCTCCAGGTAGCGGCATCACTGCTTTCAGAGGTGGCTCCTGGTTACATAGCATTTCGTGGGCAAGAAAATGGCCTAGTAGCTGGATCCCAAACTGACTTGCTGGGTGGGCCTGAGCACGCAGCTTTCAAAGTTTCCTGGGGTGAAGTGGCTCTGCCCCACTCCGCGCCCTGTGACAGCTGTGACACTGAGGCTCACATTAACTACTCATTTTTCACTGTGTTGAGCTTAGCGCTCGCTACCTTGTAAGTACTTTATAAGCGAAGTGTGACTGTAGGAGAGAAAGAAAGAACAGAAAACTCTGCTGTGGTAAGGAGAATGCTAGATTTAGATCCCAGCTCCAGCATTATCATCGCTCCTGGCAGGGAGCAGAATTCAACTCAAATTGTTCAAATGAAAAGTTTTGGCTTAAACTGGGCATGGTGGCACACAACCTGTAATCCCAGCACTCGGGAGGCTCACTGTGAGTTCGAGACCAGCCTGGGCTACATAGTGATTTCCAGGTCAGTCTCAACTACATAGTGAGACCCTGTCTCAAAAAACCAAACAAAACAAAAAAAAATTTTGGCTTTTGGTTTTTGTTTCGGCACATGAGAGCCAACCTGAGCATCATTCCAAACTTTACCATGAGAATAATCCAGACAAAAGGCAAATTCAAGTGTCTTCCTTGAACTCTTTCTGAAGTGACAAAAGTAACCAATTGGCCCAACCCAAGGACTGACAGACAGACAGGTAGTGAGCTGTAACTTCCCTGGGTAGGTGAAACCACACTCCAGTAAGAGGAGCTTACCTAGGGTGGCTGGCATTTTCACGAAGGCTAAGTATGTCTGGACAGGAGAGCATGCAGCCCTTAGAGGCTGCAGAAATTAGGAGAGTCTCCACACCCTCTTCAGGATCTTTCTCTACAAACCACACCAGGAACATTTCCACTGAAGAAAGCAGAGAAAGATTTAAGCCAGTATTCCTTGTGGCAGACCCAGGGGAGGAGTGGCAGCAGGTACCGAGAAGGGCACACAGATACTGATTGTTCCCCCCAGTCCCTGCTACCCTGTCTCCCTCAGGAGCAAAAGCCTCCATCTGAGAAGAAAGGGCAGCTAGCTGTCTTTAGACATGGTGAAAACCCACTCAGCTGCACAAGAGAGAAGGGGAGGAAAATAACCACTGCTGGAAGTGCAGCAAGAATATATAATAAGCCCAGAACTACCACTGAGAAGAGGCGGAACACTGAAGAGCACAGTCCTGATGTACAGGGACACGCGTACTTAAGGCTGAGGACAGGTACCATAGAGACAGGACCACAGAGAACTCTCCCACCCCTCCCCAGCCAGCTAAAGAGCAAAGCAACACAGGGGACAGAATCCTATGGGATAAGGATAAAAATGGAGGCACCAGAGCATGGAAAGAGACCCTCTCTGAGACACAGCACAGAGGGAGAACCTAAACTGGAAACAGAATAGACCCTGCACCAGAGGGGGGAAAAAATCCTCCTGCAAACCAGCATCTTACCCTAAATGTAAAATTTGTTAGAGAGACTTAAAGCCCATGAGGCACAGAGGTTAACCATAGAAACAGCAAACCTCCAAGGTAACCCAAATCCTAACTAAATTAATACAAACCCCCCACTAATGTCCTAGCAGAAGGAACCTCATCCACCAGCCACAGAGATGCACACCTGTAATCCCAGCT